GTGTTTCATCATTTCATTAGATCTACTGGAACTTCATCCTTTGTGTAAGGTTGTGAGGAAAAAAGAATGCAGTAGATCCACGGTTGGTTATGGGTTCCCTTAAGGATGTGTATTGTGGTAAGTTCATTAGATATTGTCGTGTGGGGTGTATGTGGACTATACAATATCGCAATGGAGGACTTGGTTCGAGTTATATGCATGGTTCTTATTTGGGTTATAGCCTTTGAATTGGAACAAGAGTGCGACCTCCTATCTCATTTTTTGGTTGTGTGTGACCATGTTTTTCGTCTGATTTTTGCATTGGTAGTAGCATGTGCTTTGAAAGGAATTGTGCGTGATAGAGGGTATGGCTCGTGTTGTGTTCAGTTAGCGTTAAGAAGGATGTTTGGATTCCTGCAAGACGGTGGATTGATGGTTGAGTATCTTTAGGCCATGTGATGTTGGTCGTGAGTCTTCAGGCTAGTGATGGATTGACGGCAAGATCGGCGTAGTACCATGAGCTTATCGTTTTAGTGGTTAGAAGGTGTCACGATGTATTGTGAACCAGTGGTTGTATTATTCATATGGGTGGGACCCGGTACTCATTTGATTGAGACTCTTAGGTCTCATATCGTTAGTCTTAGTGGCATGTTTGGGTTGTTAGTGCGTTGTTGGGAGTCGACAGACTCAATGACCAGCTGGTTTGGATCTTAAGGATAGTAGAAGTTTGTCATGTGGATGTACACCTTATCTAATGAGGGATTTGGATGCAACGTGAGATTATTGAATTGGCCATCATTATGCTCGTGGGGCAGCGGGTTGGTGATGACTTGTCGGAAAGTTAAGTGTGTATTTAAGGTTTTTGGGAACAATTTCCGAATTTGGGAATGGGAGAAATTCACGATTGGGATGTCATGGGTATTTTTCTGCATGGTTTGGTGGTGTTCCTAGTCAAGAACTAGGTGTAGGTACGACAAATGAATGACCATCAGTCATAGATCATGGTTTCTGGAGTTTAGACTGACGGGTTCCCGGTTTTGGGAGTTTATTGATGAAATTAGTTGTAGTTTCATTTTTGAGAAGTCTTCCAGTCTAAGTGGTTTTCACTGGAAGTTTGGTCTTTCAGTTAAGGAGAAAAAGATAGTTGTTTCGGACGAGTACTTTTAAGTTATTGGGTTGTTGTTAGCAGCTATGGGTTTTCAAGTGATCTCTCGACTTCTCTATATAGATGCCTTGATTTCGAAGTGGCTAGAGGGAGTTGTGGAATATGTTGACGTTGTTCGTGTTCCAATACAACGATTATTTCACTGAGACTTGTGTTGGGAGTCGCCTTTGTTTTCAAGTAGTGGGTTCAACAACAATGAATAGTCAGAGGTTCTATCTTCTAGTGGTATCAGCAATATAATTCAGGATCGGAAGGGTTTCGTATGGTTCGAGTTGCGGAGTGAAGTCATATTGACTATGTTCCGGGATGGTTTTGCCAGCTTGGGAGTCAGACAAGGTATTGTATTTCTGAATTTTCGGTAGAGTAGTGATGATTATTCTTTATTGGTTAAAGTTAGTGGGTCAGGGATTCATTATTTGTCAAGGTATGTCAGTTTCACTAAGATTGGATTTTGTTTGTAGTATGGGAGGGCAGTCGCCTGTATGAGTTGATTTCTTAGTTCGGATCGGGATTCTGGAAGGATTGTATGAATAGTATGGGGTGTAGTAGGGAGCGATTTCGAGGACGAAATCTAACTTAAGTGGGGGAGAATTTTAACACCCATGTTCCAGGTTGGTTAAGCTAACTTTTATCAGGGACCAAAGATGAAGTTTTGGAGGAAATCCTGTGCCACGACATGGTCAAAGAGGGTCACAACGTGGAAATTGTTTAATGGATTGTGTGTTATTGGATTGCCATGGCATGGCCAAAGGTTGCCACGGCGTGGGGGCTGTCCTGGCCCAAGCCCATGATTCTTTAGGGTTTGCTTCATATTTAAACCCCTCTAAGTCATTTTTAGGGATCCTTATCAACCTCCATCACCCTCAAGTTTTAGAAACCCTAACCCTAATTCCTCCTTGAGAGTTGTGAGTCTATTGTGGTGACCTTGTGTACTTGTGAAGGAAGAAGGGTCATTGGAAAGGATTGTGGTGCTTTCTGGATGATGTGAAGATCTCTTTTGGGCATCTTTGGACTTTTTTAAGTGTCCAAGTTCCTTGCTTTATGGCTTAAAGTGGTTAGATCTTGATTATTGTCCCATCTCTTTCATGTTTAAGCAAGTTTGGAATGAAGAAACTCATAAAGTTGGCAACTTTATGACTCTCCCGAGTCCCAAGAGCATCATATGTTGTAGATTTAGTCTTTGGTGGAAGTTCTCGTCATTTGCTTGAGTTTTGGTCTTTAGAGCTCATTTTAACCTAAAATGGATTCTAGTCATGTATTGAACATACATGTCTATAAAGCTTCTATCTTTATGAAGGATCTCGTATTAGAAAACCCTTCTGAAGTGGTTGGATTAAGGACTTTTCAGATTAAGGGTTTAATGATTTAGTCATGGTGGTATTTGGCTTTATTTGGGCTTAGGGTTGGAGATCTGGATCTACTTGGACGTCTTAATGGATGAAGTTGGAAACTTTATCCATTTAGACCATAGAATGGACCAGATCTGAGCTTTGGAGCTCTTGGAATCGAGGAAACTTGCTTAATCCATTAAACTGCTGGAAACCCGATGCCCACGTCGTGGCCATAGATCGCCACGATGTGGCGACTGAGAATTTCCCATATTTTTGGTTATATGAGGCCCACGACGTGGCGGTTGGTTAAAGTCAACATTGGCCCTTGACTTTTGGTATGAGTTGACTTTTGGTCAAATTTCTATTTTTTTAGTAGGTAGACCTAGGATTTGCCTTGTGTGGATTGATAGGAAAAGTTTAACACCCATCCTTGGCGGTGAGATATGTTAGCTGTGCTCAGTTCGACATTGAGCTGGGTTTTAGTCGACTTTGTGATCCATGTGAGTTTTCCTTACTGTACTTGTGGGTCGAAGTCACCAATGCTAGCCTACTGGATTATGTATCATAGTATATTGGATAATGTTATGCTAGTTATATGACAGACTGGTAGATCTGTATGATTACCTGTGTTACTGGATATGTGATAGATTGGTAGATATGTATGATTACTTATATTTGCTGGATTTTGAACGTTACTGTATATGTCGACATGTTATTGTTATTGTTGGGTTGAGGCAGTCCTGCTTTGTGCAGAAGGCCAAGGTACACGGGGTGGTCTGGATAGACTGTAGGGCCCTATTTGGCCGTCCAGACAGGTCGAAGGCCCGGAGAGCGGTCAAGATAGGTTGTAGACCATGCAAGGTGGTCCAGTCAGGCCGAAGGATCGAAGAGCGGTCCACATAGGTTGTAGGCCTAATGAGGCAGTCCAGTCATGTTGAAGGCTCATGTATGCATGTTATTATCTGTTTCGTTGTGTGTGTTATTTTGGGGGAACTCACTAAACTTTGACTTACAGTTTGATTGTTGTGGTTTTAGGTATTTCAGAGGTCAGGGCAAGGCAAATGTTTGATCGTGCACATCATCCTGGTTTTCATGTGTTTTACAATTTTAGGATACTCTGATTCATAATAACGACTTTTGGAAACTATGTTTTGTAAACACTTATGGTTTTTGGATTCGTTTCGAAAATGAAAAATTTACCTTGATTTTAGGATGTTATATCTCTTTTGTTATGTTACTTTATCAGTGCATCTTCGAAGACTTTTATAGACATTTCAATATTCCTTGATGCAAGGTTTTACCCGGTAACTTGCATTACCCGGGTAAAGACAACTATGTAGTATGTTTGGTACTTTATTATTGTTAGGATCTGTACTTATACGCACCTCCTATGATGTGTCTTTTTAGGAAATTTTTGCTCATCATATAATGGTATTCTTTTGTGGGTCGATTATTTGAACCGCTACACTTTTGTCGTTTATGCACCAACCTGTTGTGACTGAGTCGGTATCGGTCTGGCAAGCCGACCCAGATACACCATTAAAACCCATGTCACATCTGATGGGAAAGTCTCCTCCCAACAAACGATTATAAAACACCCTCGAAACCAACAACTACAAGTATCCTTCACACTCCACTCTTACATTCTTATATAGAACACTCTTAGTTGTTATCAACAAACTATTTAACATGCCGGTAACATCAGTCACATTTGTAAAATATGTTTGCAAATAGTTGTTATCAACCAACTTTTCAATGACAACTAATTTTTTCTTTTCAAAAAATTTAATGATAAAACTACAAATGAAGGGTATAACCATAGATCGTTAGCATTTATTTTCCTTTTTCTATTCTTTTCAACTCAAGAACATGAAAACCAAATATTACACTTTTTTATTTGAGCAAATTACACAAATGGTCCATATGGTTTAGTGTAATTTGCGCGTTTGGTCCCTAACTTATTTTTTTAACTCGGAAGGTCCCTACTGTTTATTTTTGTTACGCGCTTGGTCTCTGTCTTACCTAAAAATACTATTTTGCCCTTGGTTTTTTATTTTATTTAAATAAACACACCCCTAACCCCACCCCCCTCACCTTACCTTACCTACCCCACCATTTTCCCCTATTTAAATAATAGTCTTTTTAGGTAAGACAAGGACCAAGCGCGTAACAAAAACAAACAACAGGGATCAAGGTTGTAACAAAACAAATAGTAGGGACCTCCCGAGTTAAAAAAAATAAGTTAGGGACCAAACATGCAAATTACGCCAAACCATAAGGACCATTCGTGTAATTTACTCTTTTTATTTCTTTCTATACTCTTAACTTTCGCCTTCTATTCAATTTGAAAATTGAAACATGGCGTAAGGGTGCATCAACCTTTTTATATGATGATATTCTTTTTTAGTTGAGTGTGATTTTTCCAATCAACGAATTTGATTACCAATGTTTCTATTGGCAAGAGCATGGGCCATTGTGTACATGGGCTCATCAATAGAAGATGGATGATTTATGATAGGCGTACTATAAACAAAATAACAAATCCAAAGCCCTTCTTGATTCATAAAAGATAAAAACCCCTTTAATCGAATCCGGAATTCGTCAACTACTGAACAACTGCAACAATGGGTCTTTCCAGTTCAACCCAGAAAGATGATCAATCCACCACCACCACCGTCAAAAAACAGATCTTCATCTTATCCGGCCAGAGCAACATGGCGGGTCGCGGCGGCGTTAAGAACAAGCGTTGGGATGGGGTAGTCCCTGATGATTGTAAACCTGATCCCTCCACTATCCACCGTCTCAACGCTAACCTAATCTGGGAAACCGCCCAGGAGCCACTCCATGCCGACATCGACACAAAGAAGACCTGCGGTGTTGGTCCCGGAATGTCATTCGCTAACGCCGTAAAGGATTACATCCCCGGAGTAATAGATCTCGTGCCGTGTGCAGTAGGTGGCACCGCCATAAAGGAATGGGCTAAAGGGCAAAAGTTATATGAAGACATGGTGCGGAGGGCGAAATCAGCGGCGAGTAGTGGCGGAGAGATCAAAGCGATGCTTTGGTACCAAGGCGAGAGCGATGCGCCATCGCAAAACGCTGCTGGATCTTATAAAACGAACATGGAGACTTTAATCCACAATGTTCGATCAGATCTTGGACTACCATCACTGCCAATTATTCAGGTCAATTACTATTTACTAATCTCACCGATCTTACATCTAATCTCCATGATTCGTTCAGTGAATTGATTGGGGGTTTTGGGGGTATAATCAGGTGGCGCTAGCATCGGGTGATGGCTACATAGAGGTAATAAGAGAAGCACAGAAAGCAATTGATCTACCAAATGTGGTGTGTGTTGATGCAAAGGGATTGGAATTGAAAGAAGATAACCTCCATTTAACGACGGCAGCTCAGGTTCAACTTGGACACATGTTGGCCGACGCATATCTCGCCCATTTCGGATAGGCGGCTCCTCCGCCGGAGCTTAACCGGATACTGTCTGTAATTCAGATGTTTAATGTATCATTCACCAATCACTAGCAATATTTGCCATCTATCTGTTATTATTGGTTTGATGTTCGTGAAAATCCAAATGTGAAATTGGTATTGGTTTATCGATTGACGGATTGATATATATTTTTTTTTGTTGTGTAATGTGATATTTGGTACATCGTACTCGCTATTTATAAAGTGTAATAGGTAAATAGTTTTTTAACACATATATGTATATTTTTTTTTTGCTATGGGTTTACTGAGTGATTTCATGGGGTACTTTTGTATGTAGAGATAATGTTTTTTTGGATCAACAGTAAATGGGTTCAAGATAGACCTTCCAGATAAGTCCAGTCCCTGAAAATGAACCTAATGTGACTCATAGGCAACATAAAAGCAACAACAACAAACCCTATTTATTCCATTCAAATGGGGTAAAGCCGGAAAGGTAGGTGGACCTCAGTAGTTATACCTCATATGTCACAACTCATAGAAGAGCTACTGCTTCATATAAATGACCTTCGGCCTATGACAAACCAACATGTAAGGAAACGACATCAAGACACCAAAGAGTTGGTAGCTATCTATTGAAAGCAAAGCAACATTAAAATAAAAAAAAATAAAAAAAAAAAAAAAAAAAAACAAACTATCTATTGAAAAGCAAACAACATTAAAAAAAAAAAAAAAAAAAAAATAAATAAATAATAAATAAATAAATAAATAAATAAATTGCAACGTGGTATAACAGAAGATAGTCAATACTAACACCATGGTGAATCAAGACACCAAGAGTTGGTAGCTATCTATTGAAAGCAAAGCAACATTAAAAAAAAAAAAAAAAAAAAAAAAAAAAAAAAAAAAAAAGCTATCTATTGAAAGCAACCAACATTAAAAAAAAAAAAAAAAAAAAAAAATTGCAACGTGTATAACAGAAGATAGTCAATACTAACACCATGGTGAAAGACAAATACATGCAATATGGTACAAGAAGAAACATACTTCACATGCTACAACATAAAAAAGGGTTAGGCTCGACTATCCTAATAATAAAGGCTATGTGGAATAGTCCTTACGGACCTTGTGTAAGGGTGATTTGGCATATGTTTGATGCGTGAATACCATTTCTAGAGAGAGAGAGAGAGAGAGAGAGAGAAGAGAGAGAGAGAGAGAGAGAGAGAGAGAGAGAGAGAGAGAGATTTTGACGGTTTGATGTATTTAAACAAAAAAATTGATATTAAAAAATACAAATATTTACCTATAAATACTATCTTATTTTATATACATTTTCTCGCTACAAATACATATCTTCTTTACAAAACTTGCTATACATGCTACACAAACACAATTAAATGATGATAAATTTTTCATCTTCATCTTCATCGGATGGGGATGATATGTCTTTTCACTCATTCAGAAACGTCAGTCATCATGTTGGATCAACAAGCTGAAAGTTCAAACGCCATCAAGAGTATTAGAATTTAAATAAGTATGGATCGTAAAATCACACACACACTTCTGGTATATGATTACTTTTCGATGATTGTTTATACAACCACATTCAATTCAAACGTCGTTTTCGTATCGGTAGGTGTTTATTCCTACGTATAGCTAATAATTTGGAAGGTAATTACGAATATTCTCAATTGAGATAGGATGCTAAAGGTAGACGAGGTTTAATAATGTTAAGAAATTTGTATTATCTTTTGTAAATTTAATTTTGTAATATTTTATTTTCATGTAACAACCTAAAAACCATGATAAAATTTTTTATTTTTAAACAAGAGTTACAGTTGTTGGGTCATATTTAATGGTTTATGTTGGGCTTCTAGTCTTTTAGAGATCTTGGGCTTTAGAATTATAAGCTTATTGGGTTTTCGGTTTTGGGGACCGAAATCACTATGGTGGTTTCGGTCAGATGGGCTTGGGCCGTGATAAGGCTTTTGTACTTGGTGTATAAATAGTTTTCAGTCATTTACTTTTTCTAGTTGTTCATTCGTTGTGGTATTCGGCTGTTAGGAGTTTCCTTGATGTACCAGACGATTTGATCTAATATAATCGTGTGCATTAAATATTATTTGTGTGTTCTTGAATCGCTATCTCATTTATATTTCGTATTCATTAGATAGTCTGATTGATATCTTGATAAGCTAAGCATTATTGGGACTTACAATTGGTATCAGAGCTTTGTTAAGGTATCAATCGATTCAAGGACTTTGGGGACTCGTTTTTAACTATTATGAGATCTTTGGTTTAATCGAAAATTGATTTAAACTGATAAAAATTTTGGGGACTCGTTTTGGCTGATCATCGATTAGTTGTTCTTGGAATTCTTGGCATTCATCATGTTCTTCGTGATCTTCATCTGAAATATCGGGATTATATTGGATCCTTATCATTTGAATCACGAAATTTAAGGGATTTCGGTATTTTCCTAATAAGAAATCGAGGTTTTCGGCTCCCACATCCTAAAGGGTTTTCGGTGGGTTTTTGGTCAAAGTTCAAGGCTTCCGGTCAACATTTAGACCGAAATCTGTGAAAGAAATAAGCATATTCGGTTTTGGTTCTCGGCCGAAATCACCAAGTTCCCGGTCAACTTTTTCTTGGTTCTCGGTCAACGTTTTCTTGAGTTTCGTCAAATCCTTTGACTTCCTTGTTTCGATCGGATTTTAATTTTTGGGTGTTCTCGGTTTTTGTTAACTAAAATGCATTCTCAGTACAACAATTCAGTGCATCAGGAGTTGGACTCTACTATGGGGACTGCCACTCGCATTCCTCGACTTTTGTCTGCTGATGGGTTTCTAGAATGGAAATTCAGAATTGAGAAGTATATTAAACTGAAGGATGCCAAAATATGGAAGAGCATTCATAGAGGTCCAGTCAAGATTACAACAACTTTGAATGATGAAGCTCACACTGTTATTGATAAAAAGATAGAGAACTACACAGATGAGGACTTTGAAAAGCTTGAAGAACATGACAGAGCTCTTGCCACTCTTACCATGTCCTTATCTCCTGAAATTGCACAAGGTTTTAGGGAATACACGTCTGCAAAGGATTTATGGGAAGCTTTGATTGAGGTTTATGAGGGAAATGAGGACATGAGGCAGAGCAGACAGGACCTGCTTCGACAGAGGTTCAACATGTTTAATCATGTTCTAGGGGAGTCTCTTAAAGTTCAGTTGCAAAGGTTTATTAATCTCACTACTGAGATGAGTACGGCTGGGATCAATCTACCACACATAGAAATTAATAAGAAGCTGTTGAATTCTCTCCCACGAAGCTGAGACATGAATGTGTCAGTAATTAAGAAGACTATAGATCTGAGCAAGCTTTCCCTTGCAGAAGCGATGGCAATAATCAAGGCATGTGACATGGATGATAAGCAGCGTGAAGTCAACCATGTGAATTCCTACTCTACTGCCAATCTAGGAGTCTCAACCAATAGTGCCTTTTCAGCTCAACAAACTCATTTTGTTCATCTTGTTGTATCTCATCAACATCTGTCACCTTCAAG